TTTGTCCGTGCGTGTGTGTGTGTGTGTGTGTGTGTGTGTGTGTATGAGGGATGAGAGGCAGCATATCTTCCTAATGACGAGGGCAGGTTCGGAAACAACACCACTCAAGTTTTTTGACAGCACAGTGGATGTGCCTGTTGTGCCTGTGTGAGTGTGTCTTAGAACGTAAGCAATAATACAATTGGCTTATAACATTGGCTTCATTCACCACTTCCCACTTCACTGACACTTGAGCCCACAAGGGAAATGTGTGTGTGTGTGTGTGTGTGTGTGTGTGTGTGTTTGCGATAGAGACGGAGAACGTGGTTGCAGTCCTTATATGGTCATGTAGTTTGGTTAGAGCGGGTGCGTTTGCTACAGAATGAATCAGAGTGCTGTTACATCAGAGGTACGGGCAGGCGGGATGGATCACTTGCACTCCTATTGGAACACACACTTCTGTTTGAGTGTGTGTGCAAGAGAGAGAGGAATGACGGAAACGCATACTCAGATGCCCTACTTTTCAGCAGCATGGGGATGTAAGGACTATTATGCAGCAGTATGTGCGGGTTGTGCAGAGACATCGTGTGAATGAATGGGAGTAGATGGACCGCCAAGAGGAAGCCACTCCCATGTACAGTACTACTCCTCAACTTCTCCTCAACTTTCCACTTTCTCAAATTTGATTGAATTGAATCAAAAATACGACTGTAAACACATCACTTCATAAAGCCCATAAAGAAAGTTAAAGTGGAAACATTATAAAATGTGTTGCTGAATTAAAAGACCAGTGTGTTTAGTGGCATCTAGTGCTGAAGTTGCAGATTGCAACCATTTGAATACAGCTTCACCTTCCAAGTGTCTAGAAAGAGAAAGGCCCTATCAGCCAGTGTTTGGTTTGCCCCTTCTGGGCTGATGAAAACATACCTATGAATATTATATTCCATTTCTGCCCATAGATCCATACACACTGGAACTTGGCAACAAGGAAAAAAATCCATACTGTGGTCATACTGCACCTTTCATACAGCCATTGGTGGGTTGACCTGTTAGGGGGCTCCAGGGTTGCTGTTAAACCCCAACTGACCCCTAAAAACAGTCATTCATTCAGGAATATCCACCAAGTAAGCACAATATAAAGTATAATATAGGAACAGACTAACAGGGCCAAGGATTTGATCTGATTTGAACTGGTCTGGTGTGGCCACTGACAGCTGTTTGAGAAGATAATTGACCAATCTCTGCGAAAGTGGGATTAAAAATGGAAACACCTTCTTCCTAGCTAGCTAGCTAGCTATCTAGCTATCTACCCACCTAGTGTTAATGGAGCACTGTAACAGAGGCAGTTAACCAGACATACACATACACACAAACCAAACTTCTTAGTCTTCATCCTTGAGGTTTTTTGTCCTGTAAATAAAATTTTTATATTATTATATTAATAAAAGTTTTCTGCTGTTTTTCCAGGAACATTTCAGGGCCAGTGGGTTGGCGGGATGCGGCATGGCTACGGAGTTCGTCAGAGTGTCCCGTACGGCATGGCGGCCGTCATCCGGTCCCCGCTCCGTACCTCCATAAACTCTCTCCGCTCCGGTTCAGAACACAGCAATGGTACAGCTCTGCTGGACCGGACCGGGGCGGTGGTTCCTGGTCCTCCTCCTGTTCCTGGCACACTGACAACCAGCGTGTCCATGTGCAGCACGGGCAGCAGCGGCAGCAGCCCCGCTGTGTCTCGTGGAGGTTTCGTGCTGACGGCACACAGCGAGGCTGAGCTGCTGAAGGGGAAGAGAAAAGGCGGGTTGTTCCGGAGATCCATCCTGTCCGGGCTCAAGCTAAGGAAGTCTGAGTCCAGGAGTTCTCTGGCCTCCCAGAGGTCTAAACAGAGCTCGTTCAGGAGCGAGGCGGGGATGAGTACAGTGTCCTCTGCTGCTTCTGATATCAACTCTACTATCAGGTAAAAACTGGAGAAGATTATGGTGGGGACGGGGTGGGCTATGTCTGCTGCAGGTCAGGTAGCCGAATGGTCTATAGTAAGTGAGGTTTTCTTCAAATTGAAGGTCTAGAAGAAAATCACAAGGGTACAAATGAAAGGAAAAAAACCCAATACCCTAGGAATTACATCCATTTTCAAAGATTCAGATTCAGCGCCTCTTAAATTACATCCAATGGCAACGTTCAGTGCTAATTCAGGCAAGAATTTAATAATAATGTTGCATTGAACGTAATCTAGGTTTTTGCAGAACTGCCATTGTGGAGGTTGTTGTCTGCCAATATGGTTGTATATTATTATACACAAAATAAAAGGTTTTACTGATGCATCTCTTACCTGAGCAACATATAGAGAATTTCCATCCAATTTTGGTGCAAACCAGCCAACCCTTCCTCGAGTTCCCTGGCCAGAATATTCTGTTTAACACAGAAACATGTCAGAGCAGTTTCAAAGCCATTTCATGGCAACCTCACGTCCTGCGCATCCTGGCTGACACTGAAAAGAGTGTGTCGTATCAACTCTGTCATGAAGTAATGAAATGAATGAAAGTAGGGAGCAAGGTGGACTGAGAGGACAAGGAGGGATGACGTACTGAGAAACTGAACTGTCCTTCATCTGGAGGACATCAAGGCAACAACAGGCACCTGTCCTACTTTAGTGTCTTTAAAAAGGATTGGCATGTAGTCCAAAGAGGCCTATTGGTCTGTTTACTGGTCAGCTGGCCCAGTGCCTGATAAAAAGTTTCCGGTTTAAAATTGTAATGCCCAGTAATAAGCCTGTTATCTTTGTTACTCTGCTCTGCTGCTCTGCCACTCTGTTTTTCTTTCAGCATTTTCTCATCAATCATGTTGGACATAGTCAGTAATAGTGTGGGCATGCTGGCAGGTATTCTAAATTACAAATGAAAAGAAAAGGCCTGTTTCATTCATTGTGTAAACAGCAGCGTCTTTGGCTTGAATGTGTTAAATCAGTTGTGTGACATTGGAAACGTTTGGCGTAAAGAGTACGCTGGATTGAGGTGGCTTATTTTTAGAGGCACCATTTACTTGATGACAAGAGTCAGCTGCTCCTAACTTATGTGTTGGCAAAGTGGCTGACAGCAGCTTATCAGGTCTGATTAATTGTTGGCTCTAGAAACTTCTAGTTAGCTAAACATGTAGGAAAAAAGCCTCTGTAAGAGCATGAAATACAACATTTATAATTCATTTGCATGTAATGTATTGCAAATGATCAATTATTTAATTATGTATTAGTTATTTTTATCATTTGATGGTGCGTATTATAAACGTATTACAGCGATAAATCTTATTGCGGGCCAATGAAAACTTACTAAAGGAAGTAGAGATCTAATTAAATGGCCAGAGGAGCCAAGATGAAAACAAGTCTATGTGAATCCTAGTCCTGTGTGACGTAGACTTGAGTCAGGACATAGTTTGCCTAGCTTGGCATAAAGACTGGAAATATCAAGCCTGGTTCACCACCTTAATTTACAGGTTGTATCTCATTTATTTGATTTATACATAGAAGTCAGATGGATAAAATAGTTTGTCAAAAAATGTCTTCAACACGCAACCCAACCCTAAAATCTTAACTTGTATACATATATTTATGTTTGTGTACAAATTAAACAAACAAGATACAACATATTAGATAGTTGAAACAAAATGTAAACATCCTTTGAAGTAAGGTACTTGTGTTGTGGCACGTATGTAACGTAATTTCCAACCTTTTCGTAATCCTAACAAAGTAGTTCTTGTGCCTAAACTGCAATCGTTTCACAGCGTCAAACGTGCAAGCTTTATTTTGAAACTGTAACTGGACATTGTATATTTATAATTGCTAACTTGATCTCGGAGCTGTATGCATCCAGACCGTTAGAGGGACACCTACAGCGTCATATTTACAAGTGGAGCGCCATTGACCATGCGGCAGTATTTGAGGAGGTGGGAGTGAAAATGTGTTGTCATCAAAGAGTATCAATGATATAAAATGAAGTAATTAGTTTTTCTTCCCAGTTTCAAACTGCCCCTATAAAAAATACTTGTAACCTTGGCTTGATCACCTTATTTGATTTGTAAAAAGACCTTGTCTTAGGTCCACACCGGATGGGGGTCTTGACAAAAATAGGCACTACCTAAGTTCAGCTGAAGTTCTTGGGTGAGTTTCAGAACAGCAGGATCTTCCTTTCAGTAGAAGCTGGGTGTTCATTTGATGAAATATCAGGTTACAGAAAAAAGGACGGAAGACGATGGGATGAGGTGAAAAAGATACTGGGAGGCTGGTAGTACTTGTCAGCAGCTACTACTGTTAAAGAGTCTATCTATGAACAGCACTCTCACTATCACATTATAGAGCACTCATAGCTCTCCTGCCACCTAACCTCTTTGTTCTCCTCAAGGTTAGATGTAGGATTGTTGATTGAATACGCAGCCAAACCAATGTAACCTTTCACCTTTCCAGTCTTGGAGATGCAGACGCAGAGTTGGCTGCGGCTGACGACGATGTGGACGCCACGGCAACAGAGACCTACTGCGGGGAGTGGAAGAACGACAAACGGACAGGGTTTGGTGTGAGTCGGCGGTCTGATGGGCTGCAGTATGAGGGGGAGTGGCTTAGCAACAAACGTCATGGCTACGGCTGCACCACATTTCCTGATGGCACAAAAGAGGAAGGGAAGTACAAGCAGAACATCCTGGTGAGCGGAAAGCGGAAGAACCTGATCCCCCTCCGAGCCAGCAAGATCAGAGAGAAGGTGGACCGAGCGGTGGAGGGAGCGCAGAAGGCAGCAGACATCGCCCGGCAGAAGGCTGAGATCGCTCTGTCCAGGTAGAGGCTTTATGCTGGTTTGTGGATGAGTCTGTATGTCTGTCTTTCTTTTGTTTGTTGTATCCCTCCATTCCTTTGGTTGGAAAAAGACCTGGACTTTAGGGTTAACTGCCTGCCTGGAAAGGCCCAAAAGGCGATGGTACTCTTAATAAGCCAAATAATTGACTGAATGGTTGATTTCAGTTGGTCATCGAGTTCATTTCAGTTGATTTTTGTTTAAGGGACAGGGGAATATTTTGTTTTATGTTGCCCCTAGATGTCATTTTCTGTTGACATGGAGACTGTGGTAGCGGATGCTAGGTGAAGTTAACTTAATGTTTTTCATGACAATCAAAGAAATATGTTGATTTCAGTCCATTTACAATAACCGTTGCAGCTGTGTCAGTCTTTCTTTGTATTGTACCAGTGTCCCCTCCCTACTGATGGCTCCATGTGTCTGAATCATTGGGGGAGTTGGCTCTAACTGTAAACACTTGTGGATGGCTCCATTCCACATTATAATTAAGATCAATGACAGATTAAGAACGGGATTAGGGTTAAGGTGAAAGTAGGGTTAAGGAGGCCATGGTACAAGTGAAACAGCAAGCGAAGCGAGACCTTTAGGAGTGGTTAAGACTTTGATAAAGCTTCTCTGCTAAATGGAAATGACAGCCTGCTCTCATTGTAGCTCTGCTCATTGAACTAAAACAATCAGCACAGTTGGGGTTAAGATGTTAATGGGCGTGCCCTGACCTTCTTTACTGTAGCTAGAAACTTTTGGACAGGAATATAAAGCAACAATTTTAGTTTTTCAGCTCAGGACTCAAAGCAGAAATTAATTAGCTGTCCTGGGACTTGTAGTCATAGATACACATTGATACTCTTGTCACGGGGGGACCCATCAGAAGTAGGCCTATAACCCATTTCGGTCCCAGACCTTGTTGTTTCGAGGAACCAGGTTATAGGGCCATGGATAGGCTACAGTAATTCTGTGGCAATGCTTGCTGTCAAAGATTTTTTAAAAACATCATATTTAGGCTTTACAGCAAGGTTTAGATAAGAATTTAGACATTTACACCACAGAGACTAATACATGGATGCAAACTGAGCAAGCAATTTGGCTGCTAGCTTCACAGGAATCCCATTCTACAGTTAAATTTATATCCGAGCCAGTTCTGAAAAGTAATACAGAAGAAAAGTAAAATCTGTACTTCCCCAATGGATGTACTGGTATTTAGAAGTAACTTGATATGATGTATTTTAACAGATCTTCTGGCCTAAATGTTAGAGAATCAGGCTTGTGAATAGAGGGTCAATGGTTAAATACTTTGGCAGGGAAAAACTGGTGAACAGTTGAATCAGTGCTCAGTACATCAGTTCAGTACACATAGCTATGAAAAAGTAGGACATCCCTAAAAAGATGTATTTAAAGAAATAGTTTGACATTTTGGGAAATACACTTCACTTTCTTGCTGAAAGTAAGATAAAAAAAGTATACTGCTTTCATGCCTGTATGCTAAACAGTAACTAGAGCCAGCAGGCAATTAGCTTAGCCTAGCATAAAGATTGGAGGTAGGGGGAAACCGCTAGCTTGGATCTGTCACCTCCAAAACTCACAGATAACAGGGTGTGTCCCATTTCTTTAATGGGTACACAAACAGAAATCTTAAAGATACAATTTGTGGTTTTGAGGCGGAGTTTCATGCTAGCTCTAATGCAGCTGCCTCTAGTCTATCAAAGCTAAGCAAATCTAACCTAGCTTTATATTTAAAGCTGCACTACGTAACTTTTATAAAAAATAACTTTTTGTCATATTTGCTGGAATCTTCACTATATATTGACTGTAGTACATGATACCAATAATCTCTGGCTCCTCCTAGGACTGACTTTTCTTAAAAGAAAAAATTTGGGGGCCTTTTATTGCCTTTAATTGAAAGTGAAAGCTGGAGATAGACAGGAAAGGGGGTGGAGAGAGGGGATGACACGCAGCAAAGGGCCACAGGTCAGATTCGAACCCTAGGCCTAAATCAATGGGGCTGGCAATGAAATCAACCAATTCATGAGTTGGAAAAAAGGTATAAAGACGCTTTTGGTTGGTAGCTTGAAGATTGATGATTTTTGAGTCTCATTTTCAAGGTCCTAAAGCATCTGTTTGATGCCCTGAGAATAAGACTTAACTTTGTCAGACTATTTGTTTAAGGTGCTGGCCATTGACAGTTGTCCCACACAGATTGCGGCTCTAGTAGTTGAACCTCAGCTTACGATTTGTTTGCAATGTGTATGTATGCTAAGTTGACCCTGCAGTTGAAAGTCTGCTAACTCAGCATACATTCAAACCTGATCTGAGCTGTGTAGATATGTGCAAGAAGCCGACACTGTAATTTTAGTGTTATCTAGGAAGACACCTAGCCTCACAGCGCCAGCCCACAGGTTTGCCTCTGCTGGGTTAGCTTGAACAACAGAGGTTCAGTCCTCCGAAGGAAAGATGTGAGCATCAGTTGGGATAAATGGCTGCATTATGTATAGTATGTGAATGACCTGGTCGTCTGAAAAGGGGTTAGGGTTACTATCTGATTAGCAGTTGACCTTGTGACAGATCAATAAAGTAATAACATGTTGCACACTAACAT